CAGGTGGATGGATTATCTTGGCAAAGGAGAAATGCTCACTAACAGGAATATGAACAAATTTGGGCACAAAATTTGAGAGAAATAACCTTTTTGTGCATATGGAACATTTCGGGGATCTTTTATTTCAGCTCATATAACATGGGACTAACACTTTACATGTTGCATTTATATTTTTGTTCAGTATAGATTAACTCTAAACATCCTTCTGGAAATCAGACTTTTAAAATCTAGACTAGGGCAAGTCTGAGACTATTTTAAACCATGTCTGAAAAATGCCATTTCAGTTAGTCCAGTTTAAAAGTGCAATTTAGTCTAGGCTTAGTCTGTGTCCAAGAAACCGCCCCTACAAGTTTTAAATGTCCTGCATTGCAAGAAAGTTATCCTGCAACAGAGTGATGAAAATAAGATCCTACTATACCTGTAGGCTTTTCTCAATTTACATGCAGGTAATTATATACAGTGCATTCGGAAAGTATTCAGACCCCTTGACTTTTTACACATTTTGTTGCGTTACAGCCTTAATCTAAAATTGATTAAATCGTTTTTTTCCCTCATCAATCTACACACAATACCCCATAATGACAAAGCAAAAACAGGTTTCTAGAAACTTTGGTAAATGTATAAAACATATAAAAACGGAAATATCACATTTACATAAGTATTCAGACCCTTTACTCAGTACTTTGTTCAAGCACCTTTGGCAGCGATTACAGCCTCAAGTCTTCTTGGGTATGACGCTACAAGCTTGGCACACCTGTATTTGGGGAGTTTTCATTATTCTCTGCAGATCCTCTCAAGCTCTGTCAGGTTGGTTGGGGAGCGTTGCTGCACAGCTATTTTCAGGTCTCTACAGAGAGGTTAGATTGGGTTCAAGTCCGGGCTCTGGCTGGGCCATTCAAGGACATTCAGAGACTTGTCCCAAAGCCACTCCTGCGTTGTCTTGGCTGTGTGCTTCGGGTCATTGTCCTGTTGGAAGGTGAACCTTCGCCCCGGTCTGAGGTCCTGAGCTTTCTGGAGTAGGTTTTCATCAAGGATCTCTCTGTACTTTGCTCTGTTCATCTTTCCCTCTATCCCCACTACTATCCCCACTAGTCTCCCAGTCCCTGCCGCTGAAAAACATCCCCACAGCATGATGCTGCCACCACCATGCTCAATTTTGGTTTAATCTGACCAGAGAATCTTGCTTCTCATGAGAGTCATTTAGGTGCCTTTTGGCAAACTCCTTTTACCGAGGAGTCTGGCCACTATACCATAAAGGCCTGATTGGTGGAGTGCTGCAGAGATGGTTGTCCTTCTGGAAGGTTCTCCCATCTCCACAGAGGAACTCTGAAGCTTTGTCAGAGTGACCATTGGGTTCTTGCTCACCTCCCTGACCAAGGCCCTTCTCCCCCGATTGCTCAGTTTGGCCGGGCTTCCAGCTCTAGGAAGAGTCTTGGTGGTTCCAAACTTCTTCCATTTAATAATGATGGAGGCCACTGTGTTCTTGGGGACCTTCAACGCTGCAGACATTTTTTGTTACCCTTCCCCAGATCTGTGCCTCAACACAATCCTGTCTCGGAGCTCTATGGAAAATTCCTTTGAACTCAAGGCTTGGTTTTTGCACTGTGGTTGACATACACTGGCTTGGTTGACATGGACTGTCAACTGTGGGACCTTATATAGACATGTGTGTGCCTTTCCAAATCATGTCCAATCAATTAAATGTATCACAGGTGGACTCAAGGATGATCAATGGAATCAGGATGCACCTGAGCTCAATTTCGAGTCTCATTGCAAAGGGTCTGAATACTTATGTAAATAAGGTATTTCTGTTTATATTTTTAATACATTTGCAAATATTTCTAAAAAGCTGTTTTCGTTTTGTCATTATGTGGTATTGTGTTTAGATTGATGAGGGGAAAAAACGATTTAATCCATTTTAGAATAAGGCTGTAACGTAACACAATGTGAAAAAAGTGAAGGAGTCTGAATACATTTTGAATGCACTGTACATCAGTACATACATTTGTATTTGTGGTACCTCATCTCACTTATAAAGCTTCTGTGTGAAGAAAGGATGGATGCAGCATTGAGTCATGTATTGTTTGTGAATATAATTTTCAATTCCTCCCAAATGCAAATCCCAAACTATAGTTTTGTGTTCCTTAGCCACAATTGCCTTACTCCCAAGTTCCCAAACTAGTGATATTGTGGAGGGTAATCTCAAGTAAACTCAGTGTACCCACCTAGATAAGTCTTTTTAGCATTGTGATTTATCCACCTATTTACCCATGACACAGGGTTTACCCACCCACACTACTTGCTAACCCACAGCCAGGGAGTCATAACTTTAGCGTGTGAAAGCCCACCAAAGGCATCAGGCTAACGTGTCTCAGGCAGTGTGTGTTTGTTTGTGTGCGTGCTAATGGATGCTAATAATGCTCCTGTATAAGGCTGTCTCTGGTAAATCTGGCTCGTGTGGATTAGGGAGCCGGGGTTTGAAAGCAAAGCACCTTCACTCCCTCTCTCTCATCTCCTCATGCTTTCTTATTCTGTCCTATCTCTCTCTCATTCCCTCCTCTCTTTCATTCCCTCCTGCTGTCTCTCATTACCTGCTGCTGGAGTTGTGACTTTATTGGCCTTATTCAGGAATTTGTCTCAATTTAGATTTCTAAAGACTAGAGTTGCTGTGAAACTAACAGCCACTATGAACCAGAAGTTTGTCCTCATCACAGGCTGCTCCTAAGGCATTGGCCCTAGCTGTACGCATCGCTGAGGCTGAGAAGAAGAGGTTCATGGGTAAGTAGCCAAGTGGGCCCTTACGGAAAAAACTGATGAATTTCACGTAATCTTATGTGAAGTTAATGCAATAGCATGATAACATGTAAAAGCAACATGTGATAAAATGAAACTAAATGTGACAACATGGGGAATGCGAAATTTCAACATGCTATACAATGAAACCAGGGGAGGCTGGTGGGAGGAGCTATAGGAGGATGGGCTCATTGTAATGGCTGGAATGGAATAAATGGAACGGTATCAAACACATCAAACATATGGAAACCACATTTGACTCTGTTCCATCCCTTTTCCAGACGCAAAAAAAGCTTATTTCTCTCAAATTTTGTGCACAAATTCATTTACATCCCTGTTAGCCAGATAATTTAATGTTCATTTCTCTACCATAAGCCGCCTCCAACGTCGTTTCAGAGAATTTGGCAGTACGTCCAACATGCCTCAAAACCGCAGACCACGTGTATGACGTCGTGTGGGCAAGCAGTTTGCTGATGTCATGGTGGCGGTGGGGTTATGGTATGGGCAGGCAAAGGTATGGACATCAAACACAATTGCATTTTATCGATGGTAATTTGAATGCACAGAAATACCGTGATGAGATTCTGAGGTCCATTGTCGTGCCATTCATCCGCCGCCATCACCTCATCATTCAGCATGATAATGCACGGCCCCATGTCGCAAGGATCTGTACACAATTCCCGGAAGCTGAAAATGTCCCAGTTCTTCCATGGCCTGCATTCTCACCAGACATGTCACCCATTGAGCCTGCTCTGGATCAACGTGTACGACAGAATGTTCCGGCTCCCGCCAATATCCAGCAACTTCACACAGCCATTGAAGAGGAGTGGGACAACATTCCACAGGCCACAATCAACAGCCTGATCAACTCTATGCGAAGGAGATGTGTCCCACTACATGAATAAAAATGAGGGTCACAGCAGATACTGGCTGGTTTTCTAATCCACGCCCTTTTTTTTATGTATCTGTGACCAACAGATGCATATCTCTATTCCCAGTCATGTGGAATCCATAGAGTCAAGGGGTCTGAATAGTTTCCGAATGCACTGTATTCCCTATATACTGTAGTGCACTACTTTTGACCAGAGCCCTGTGGGTCCTATTGGGAGATTGTGCACTACATAAGGAATATTCGTAAGTTTCCTCTGGCTCTGTCCAGGGGGAAGGTATCTTCAATGCTTCATCCACTGCCATTAATTCTTCCAGATTCCTGGGCTAAAGACTCTACTTTATATCCTATTGTGATGTCTTGTCATTTTCTGTACTAACAACGTGTTTAAAATGTATTCACATTGTTTTCTGTCAGTCCATTTTTGTTGTTGAAATATGCTCAACACTTATACAAAATATTGAAGAACACTGGTTATGAGAATAGAATAGGAATTAATAGTGGGATATTGAAGCAAGCGCTCTTAATACCCTACCAGATGTTTCACAGACATACAGTATGTTACTTTGCAGAGTACAGATAGACCACAAACTTCCATGTCCACATGATATCGCTATCCCTGATACATGATACTCCCTTTAAGCCTTTTAAAGCCACTATATGCACCCTTTTATGCACCATAAGCAGAACAAAAAAGGACAGTGGCAAAATCATTAAACACAACATTTTGTGATCAAATGAATTAAATTCTTTATTATCAATTATAAACCAACATAAAATTATAATAGTTGTGTCTTGAAGAGTGTTTGTGTTGAAAATGTATGGCTTCAAATGTTGACGGAAAAGTTACCTTTGAATTTGAGAAAAAGTGTTTTACTGGGGAATCTCAATGGACTTTTGTATTGACAGAGGCTACAATAAAAGGATCCACTGATAAGTTGTGTGGAGATCCAATTATGTAACGATGTTATCTACTGGGTCAGTAATGATTCACAGGGTATATTGCGCTGGTATTCAAAGCCCCAGTTGTATTGAAGGATAATCCAATAAGCATTATTATATCAACGTTTTGTTTGTCATTAACAAACACAAAACAGGAATATGGTGACGTGATTAAACTAATATGGTAAAGGTTAATGTGGAAAGGGGAAATGATCTTGCAAATCCAAGTATTTTAGTCATAGGCTTACTTGTGGTCTTGGCCCACATTTTAATGAAAGTATTATTTCGCCTCCAACACAGTAAGCGGCGACATGTGTCTTTGGACCGTAGCACAGGCACTGTAGAAAAATAATATACCGGATATGGATTTTGTTCGCGTAGAGTCGTTTCCGGAGACATTTCAGTGCTGATGAAGCGGACATAAGAGAATAAATGAATTAAAGTATTTAGTTCGAGCGATAAAGGAACAGCAATTCTCGTACCAGTGCATACAATATTTTGTTTGAAACAGTGTTTTGGATCAACACTGCGTTACGAAATGATCCCAACGACACGTTTGCTAGCGTAGCCATGTCCTCAATAGCCGCTGCAAAGCCGTGTTGTAGCTAGTTAACGTTGCGAGAGGGACCAAAGCTAACGTAACTCGCTAGCTAGTTTTCTGTTTACGTTGACTTTTCCGTTACATCCCACGTCTCTGCAGTAGCATTATGGTGTGCTGTGTCAATTGGCTTTTTTTTGTAGCTAGCTAGTTTACTATACATAGCCAAGTAGATAGCTAACGTTGGCTAGTTTAAATAACTTTTGAAACCTAATTACTCCCGAGTTCGGCTAACTAGCTAATGTTAGCTTCTAACTCACGACATTGTTCAACACAAAGACCGCTGCGAAACCCAACTATCAACGCAAGGGTTTCGTTTGTACTACGTTAACTAGACAATCTTGCTAGTTAACGTTATCTGGAATACGATGGCTTCTTCGTCGGGAAACGATGACGACCTCACCATTCCCAGGGCAGCTATCAACAAAATGATCAAAGAAACTTTGCCCAACGTACGGGTTGCCAACGATGCGAGGGAACTTGTTGTGAACTGTTGCACAGAGTTCATACATCTAATTTCATCAGAGGCGAATGAAATATGTAACAAGTCTGAAAAGAAGACTATATCTCCTGAACATGTCATTAATGGTTAGTGATTCTTGTCTTTATCTATTCTGTAACGTTACCAACAGGTTTCAAAATGCATTCTTGTACAGTGTGGGTGTTTCCCTTTCTTGCCATGTGTTTTGAAGTTGATGTCTTAGTTAGGTATGTACTAGCCTGTTCCCAGATCATTTTGTTCTGTCTTACCAGCACAAACCAATCAGATCTGGACCCAGGCTAGCTGAGCACTATTTGGTCCTCAATAATCAAGTGACAAGATAGTTTATTCATTTTCAGTTTTTTCCCCCCTAACCTTGTATTCATTATTTTCCACAGCACTTGAAAGCCTGGGTTTTGCATCATACATCACAGAAGTGAAGGATGTCTTGCAGGAATGTAAAACAGTAGCACTTAAGAGGAGAAAGGCCAGCTCTCGCCTGGAGAACCTGGGTATCCCAGAGGAAGAGCTCCTTCGACAACAACAGGAACTCTTTGCTAAGGTAAGGTTCAAGATTGTAGCCTGTGCTAGTCTGTCATGCCACAATAGAGTTGGCAAAAACACAAACCGATCTGGGACTAGGCTGTTGGCACAAACCGATCTGGGACCAGGCTATCCAGACACAGTATTAAGATCAAGACTGATAACCTGTGTTAGGAGGATCAAGAGGCCTAATACGAATCAGGACATTTGCTGCTGCATCTCTGGCTCTACACGTTAACACACAGATCACCTGGTTAGTGTACATACATTACATTGCCTGATGATCTCATCTCTGATTAATACCCTTCACACATGAACATGTAAATGTAACTCAGTTGGTAGAGCATGGTGCTTGCAACGCCAGGGTTGTGGGTTTGTTTCCCACGGGGGGCCAGTATGAAAAAAGTATGAAAATGTATGCACTCACTAACTGTAAGTCGCTCTGGATAAGAGCGTCTGCTAATTGACTTAAATGTAAAAATGTAAATTCCCAACACACGTTTCTACAGGAGAGACGGTACGAAAATGAGAGCCTGGACCCGGAAGTGAGCCCCGGTCTCCAGTGGGGGACAGTATATGTGTAGAGTTGTCATGTTACCCACTCAGGCACACACCCTGTATCTCTAACCCTGACTAACCTTTGTTAATTGTGTTCCAGGCGCGGCAGCAGCAAGCAGAGCTAGCCCAACAGGAGTGGCTCCAGATGCAGCAGGCTGCCCAGCAGGCCCAGTTGGCTGCAGCATCCGCCAGTGCTGGACAGCAGGCTGGCTCCTCCCAGGACGAGGATGACGAGGATGACATGTGATGATGAAGATGACACCTTGGACTGGGATTTGAGCAACAACAAGAAGGCAGGGTCTTCATTAGGGCACACCATAGCAAAACATTTTGCAATGGATACTGAAAGCGATCGTCTGTTATTGGATAACTACAGATAGTAGGCTACCACCCTGTTTCGGGCTGTTTTCTCCCTGTTTTGTGACTATTGAACACGACCCAGGCCAAATCCCTTATTTTCTTTGGACAGTGTCAGCAAGCAGCCCTCTCTCTCCCAACGATCTCATTGGCAGAGATCTGAGCTGTGTTCGGACATTATGCACAATAATCCCACCAGTCCAGTATCAGGCGTACACATTGTTATGGACAGTTTCAAGGTATATAGATAGACATCTTTTTTTCTTTTTTTGACAGCAGTACCTGAAAACGAACATATTTGGATAAAGATGCATTTTCAAGCATTCCTCCACTTATCCTAAATTTTATTTTTGCCAATCACAAATCAAATGTTAAATCTGTCATGGAATTGTGTCATGTACTGTGTGGTTTGTAGATTGGAGATTAATGTTGGATGCAAGGTAGCATGGAAAATGCTGCTGAAGGCAGATGGAGTGTTGAAAAAAAGTATCATGGTTTTGGCTATGTTGAGAAAAGAACGTTAGTACAGTTCAGGTACTGCTCCTTTAGGTTGTGTTTCTACTAGATTGTTTGGGGGTTTCAGGAGAACAGCTCCACACTCTTTGTCAAAGGTGGGCTTTACTTATTCCTCCTACTGGCTTGTGATCCTTTTTGAGTAGTCGTTTTTACAGAAATAGTTCCTTCTTCGTATGTTTGTTTAACAGGACGGATGTGTCCCAAACAGCACCCTATGTCCTATATAGTGCACTACATTTGACCCAAACCCTATAGGCCCTGGTCAAGTATTCTACTATAATGGGAATAGGGTGCCATTTGGGACGCACACAACATTTCGGAAACACTTAGAGGGGTTGTGAATATGATTAGTAAAATAGGATTTCGAAATGCTTTTTATTTTAGCTCAGTCATTATCTAAGTAGGTTGATGCTTTTTTCTTATGTTCACCTACAGTATTGCTAATTGATTAGCTACTCATTTGAGATTCTTTTTGACCCATAGAACCAAATATATAGGTTGTATCCCAAATGGCACCCTCTTTCCTATATAGTGCAATACTCTTGACCAGAACCCAATTGGCCTTGGTTATAAGTAGTGCACTATATAGGGAATAGGGTGCAATATGGGGCATAGCTTAACAACCCTGAGTATATGAGATGAGGCCAAGGTGTATGTTCCATGTGTAGAATAAAGAGACTTGGGTGCAGTGTGCACTCAGGTTACTGTTCACAATGCTGATGGTAACTTTTACTTTGTAAAAATGCTTTATCTTCTTGGCTTAATCTGCTTTTGTTTGCATCCCAAATGGCAGCCTATTTCCTTTAGTGCATATGAATACTTTGTCTCTAGTCAAAAGTAGTGCACCGTGTAGGAAATAGGGTTCCATTTGGGGCACACACTTTTTCTCCAGTGCGGTATGAAAGAGTTGCATTGTGAATGTGTGGTGAATTCTTTAAAAATGTAGAGATTGGTAACCTCTACGTGTGATACACATTCACATGCCTTCTATAAAGTTGTATTCTTTAAGCAATAAAGTTAACATGTTTTATAGAGACCAACCCTTCCTCTTCATGTTTTGTGGAGTTATTTACAGTCCTTTCCTCATTTTATGTTAACTTTACAGTTTTTCATCACGGACAAAAGCTGCACATTTGCTTACTATGACCAACAAGTCATACAATATGCTATTATATGATACCTTTCTACCATATTCCAAGCAATGTAAATCCAATGTTCACACATCTTGGTAAATTATTATAAATGGGAAAACTGTAATATACTGGAATGTAAAATACTTGCAATGAGTCGAATGCACTGACTGTAAGTTGCTCTGGATAAGAGTGTCAGTGGTTCCTAAACTGGAGGCGCGAGGGGTCGTTTGCAACGGACACTGAAAACAAGTGTTTCTTATTGGATAGCTACAGCTATACAGTGCATTTGGGAAATATTCAGACCCCTTTACTTTTTCAACATTTTGTTACGTTACAGCCTTATTCTAAATTTGATTAAATTGTATTTTTTCCATCATCAATCTACACACAATACCCCATAATGACAAAGCAAAAACTATTTTTATTTTTTTATTTTTTATGTATAATAATGATAAAAAACGAAATATGACATAAGTATTCAGACCATTTATTCAGTACTTTGTTGAAGCACCTTTGGCAGCGATTACAGCCTTGAGTCTTCTTCGGTATGATGCTAGAAGCTTGGCACACCTGTATTTAGGTAGTTTCTCTCAATCTTCTCTGCAGATCCTCTCATGCTCTGTCGGGTTGGATGGGGAGCGTCGATCGGGTTCAAGTCTGGGCTCTGGCTGGGCCACTCAAGGACATTCAGAGACTTGTCCCGAAGCCAATCCTGTGTTGTCTTGGCTGTGTGCTTAGGGTCATTGTCCTGTTGGAAGGTGAACCTTCGCTCCAGTCTGAAGTCCTGAGCGCTCTGGAGCAGGTTTTCATCAAGGATCTCTTTCATCAGACCAGAGAATCTTGTTTCTCATGGTCTGAGAGTCCTTTAGGTGCCTTTTGACAAACTCCAAGCGGGCTGTCATGTGCCTTTTACTGAGGAATGGATTCGTCTGGCCACTCTACTATAAAGGCCTGATTGGTGGAGTGCTGCAGAGATGGTTGTCCTTCTGGAAGGTTCTCCCATCTCAGAGGAACTCTGGAGCTCTGTCAGAGTGAGCATCGGGTTCTTGGTCACCTCCCTGACCAAGGCCCTTCTCCCCCGATTGCTCAGTTTCGCCGGGCGACCAGCTCTAGGAAGAGTCTTGGTGGTTCCAAACTTATCCCAGTTAAGAATGATGGAGGCCATCGTTTTCTTGGAGACCTTCAATGCTGCAGAATTGTTTTGGTACCTTTCCCCAGATCTGTGCCTCGACACAATCATGTCTCGGAGCTCTACAGACAATTCCTTCTACCTGATTAATTGGTTTTTGCTCTGACATGCACTGTCAACTGTGGGACCTTATATAGACAGGTGTGTGCCTTTCCAAATCATGTCCAATCAATTTAATTTACCACAGGTAGACTCCAATCAAGTTGTAGAAACATCTCAAGGATGATCAATGGAAACAGGATGCACCTGACCTCAATTTCGAGTCTCATAGCTAAGGGTCTGAATACTTATGTAAATAAGGTATTTCTGTTTTTTATTTGTAATACATTAAAACCTGTCGTTTCGTCATTATGGGGTATTGTGTGTAGATTGATTAGGGAAAACAATTATTGAATCAATTTTGGAATAAGGCTGTAACGTTACAAATGTAGAAAAAGGGAAGAGGTCTGAATACTTTCCAAATGCACTGTATATATACAGTACCAGTCAAAAGTTTGGACACACCTACTCATGCCAGGGTTTTTCTTTATTTTTTTTTACTATTTTCTACATTGTAGAATAATAGTGAAGACATCAAAACTCTGAAATAACACGTATGGAATCATGTAGTAACCAAAAAAGTGTTTAAAAAATCAAAATATATTTTATATTTGAGATTCTTCAAAGTAGCAACCCTTTGCCTTGATGACAGCTTTGCACACTCTTGGCATTCTCTCAACCAGCTTCATGAGGTAGTCACCTGGAATGCATTTCAATTAACAGGTGTGCCTTGTTAAAAGTTAATTTGTGGAATTTCTTTCCTTCTTAATGAGTTTGAGCCAATCAGTTGTGTTGTGACAAGGTAGGGTTGGTATACAGAAGATAGCCCTATTTGGTAAAAGACCAAGTCCATATCATGGCAAGAACAGCTCAAAAAAGCAAAGAGAAACGACAGTCCATCATTACTTTAAGACATGAAGGTCAGTCAATACGGAACATTTCAAGAACTTTGAAAGTTTCTTCAAGTGCAGTCGCAAAAACCATCAAGCGCTATGATGAAACTGGCTCTCATGAGGACCGCCACAGGAAAGGAAGACCCAGAGTTACCTCTGCTGTAGAGGATAAGTTCATTAGAGTTACCAGCCTCAGAAATGGCAGCCCAAATAAATGCTTCACAGAGTTCAAGTAACAGACACATCTCAACATCAACTGTTCAGAGGAGACTGCGTGAATCAGGCCTTCATGGTCGAATTGCTGCAAAAAAAACACTACTAAAGGACACCAATAATAAGAAGAGGCTTGCTTGTGCCAAGAAACACAAGCAATGGACATTAGACTGGTGGAAATCTGTCCTTTGGTCTGAAGAGTCCAAATTTGAGATTTTTGGTTCCAACCGCCGTGTCTTTATGAGACGCTGAGTAGGTGAACGGATGATCTCTGCATGTGTGGTTCCCACCATGAAGCATGGAGGAGGAGGTTTGATGGTGTTTGGGTGCTTTGTTGGTGACACTATTGGTGATTTATTTAGAATTCAAGGCACACTTAACCAGCATGGCTACCACAGCATTCTGCAGCGATATTCCATCCCATCTGGTTTGCGCTTAGTGGAACTATCATTTGTTTTTCAACAGGACAATGACCCAACACACCTCCAGGCTGTGTAAGGGCTATTTGACCAAGAAGGAGAGTGATGGAGTGCTGCATCAGATGACATGGCCTTCACAATCACCCGATCTCAACCCAATTGAGATGGTTTGGGATGAGTTGGACCGCAGAGTGTAGGAAAAGCAGCCAACAAGTGCTCAGCATATGTTGGAACTCCTTCAACACTGTTGGAAAAACATTCCAGGTTATGCTGGTTGAGAGAATGCCAAGAGTGTGCAAAACTGTCATCGAGGAAAAGGGTGGCTACTTTGAAGAATCTCAAATATAAAATATTTGACTGGTACTGTATATACAGTGGGGAGAACAAGTATTTGATACACTGCCGATTTTGCAGGTTTTCCTACTTATAAAGCATGTAGAGGTCTGTAATTTTCATCATAGGTACACTTCAACTGTGAGAGACGGAATCTAAAACAAAAATCCAGAAAATCACATTGTATGATTTTTAAGTAATTAATTTGCATTTTATTGCATGACATAAGTATT